GACACACACACACACACACACACACACACACATACTTTTTGTTAGATTTGTTCCTAAACATTTGACATTTTTTATGTAAATTGAACCAAAAAAATTGTAAGAACTTCGAATAGATCATGAAGAGAATGGAAAGGCAAGCTTCAGGACAGTCAAGGTAGACCAGCCACCAAAGAAAGGGTGACACCTGAGACAATGTCCCCAAAGGCAGGACTGCCATTCTAGAGCATTTCCCACTTTGTTATTTCCCAGGTGTGAACCCTGACACAAAAGATAACTACTAAAAAGGGCTCAAATTAGAAAAACAACAACAAAAGGAGCAAACAAGCGAGGAGCAGAGCAGAGCTGTCCACCTACAGGGAGAGGGCGGCCTGGCCCTTGCAGCTGTGCTCACTTCACAGTGTGCTGTGTCACCATAAATGCACTCAACTTGGGGATTCCTGTTGGCGTTGACTTGGCACCAATGCCCATCAGTTGACATAGGCTACCACTAAAAATACATACGGCAGGCAGCCAGACTTTGTGAAGTCACACTTTGGGAGAACTGATTTCCAAATATATTCAGATTTTTTATATACCAGAATCACAGCCTCAGGTTACCTACTAGGTGTATCAGTTAATAATGCAAATTTTTTTCAATAGATGAAGTTACACATATGTTGATATATATGCAATGTGATATGTATGCTATTTTGTTGTATTGAAAGCAAGCTTCAAAACTTTACATGTCAAATTTGCTGAAGGTGTTAACATCATAGATATTTTTAAGCTTAAAAATATCAAATTTTGTGCCAAAAAAAGATACTTGTGAACGCTGGTTTAAATGCTTTAAAAGTGATTATTTCAATTTGAAAGACAAAGAACTTCCAGGTCAACCGAAAAAGTTTGAAGACCAACAATTGCAAACATTATTGGAAACTCAAAAACAACTTGCAGAAAGATGAAACATTGCTCAGCAAACAATTTCTGATCATTTACAAGCAATGGCAAAGGTTCTGCAGCGGTTCTCAACCTGTGGGTCGCGAACAATGAAAATACACCCTGCATATCAGATATTTACATTTTGATTCATAACAGTAGCAAAATTACAGTTATGAAGTAGCAACAAAAATAATTTTATGGTTGGGGGTCACCACAACATGTGAAACTGTATTAAAGAGTCACGGCATTAGGAAGGTTGAGAACCAATTTAAAGGAAAGAAAATGGGAGCCACATCAACTGAACGAAAGACAAATGGAAAACCGAAAAGTCATCAGTAAAAGGTTGCTTCAATGGCATGAAAGAAAGTCTTTTTTGCATCGAATTATGGCTGGCGATGAAAGTGGATTTATTTTGAGAATCCCAAATGCACAAAATCATGGATTGATCCAAGTCAACCATCAACATTGACTGCAAGGACAAATAGCTTAGGAAAGAAGACAATGCTCTGCCTTGGTGGGATCAGGAAGGTGTGGTGTATTATGAGCTTCTAAAACCAAGTGAAACCATTAATACTGATCGCTACCAACAACAAATAATCAATTTGAACCACACTTTGATCCTGAAATGACCAGAATGGGCCAGAAGTCATGGCAAAGTAATTTTGCTTCATGATAATGCACCGTCACACACTTCAAAACCAGTTAAAGACACATTAAAAGATCATGCCTGGGGAGTATTAACCCACCCACCATATTCACCAGACCTTGCTCCTTCAGTTTACCACAGTTCTCATCAATGGCACATCCACTTTCTGAAGAGCACTGCAAAACATATGCAGAAGTGGAAAATTGGGTCTCTGAACGGTTTGCCTCAAAACAAGACGAGTTCTATTGGGATGGTATCCACAAATTACCTGAAAGATGGGGGAAATGTGTAGCTAGTGGTGGGCATTACTTTGAATAAAGCACTTTTGATGTTTCTCTTGAAATTATGGTGTTTTCTTTCATTATAAAATCTGCATTATAAAAAAAAACCCTGCATTATTAGCTGATACATATCCCTAGAAATCAGAAGCATTTGACACCACACCACATGGGACCTGAGAAGCACCCAGTCTGCCAGGAGGCATGCAGGGGTGAAGGCAAAGCCTTCTGGAATTCTTGCAAGAAGGAATAAGCAATCAAAACAACAATGCAGTACCATCTTAGAATGGCTATCATCAACAAATCAACAAACAAGTGCTGGCGAAGATGTACTCTTACCATTTTCAACAGCATGGATGGATCTGGAGAGCATTATGCTAAGAGAAATAAGCCAGTCAGAGAAAGATAAATATGATATGATCACACTCATTTGTGGAATATAATGAACAACATAAACTGATGAACAAAAACAGATCCAGAGACAGCAAAGCCTCCATCAGACTGTCAAACCTCAGAGGGAAGGTAGGGGAGGGTTGGGGTAAAGGGGAGAGATCAAGCAAAGGACTTATATGCTAGCATATAGGCCTAACCAATGGACACAGACAACAGGGGGGTGACAGCATGAGTGGGGGGTTGGGGGGTAATGTGGGGGTAAGGACACGTATGTAATAACTTAATCAATAAAAAAAAATTAAAAAAGAAGGGACGGGCAAGGCAGGATAGGTACACTAGGTTTAAATTAGACAGTTTAAATAATTTGGGGGCTATGAATTGGCTATAAAAGCAGTCTCTAGTGGTTTAGTACCTGTGCGGGGGTAGTTTTCAGTAGGGGGACTATTGGCTTGGCCTGTAAGAGTTTGATAAAGGAGATATTTGAGAATGTGGTCACTGGGTTTATATCAAAGGTACACTCTCAGGGGCAACAGGGGGCCATTTGTTATCTCTAGGAATTAGTGCTGGTAGAAGCATTCTCTCCAGGATCAAGGCCCCAACTACCAGAGCATGGAAAACACAGAAAATAAGAAAATACATTCAGTACAATCCCCCTTGCTCTCCAAAGAGAAAGAAGATCCCTACCAAGAAGGACTCTTGGTGGCTCAATAGACTCAAATTTATAAGACAGACCCTTGTAGCCATTTGGGGGGGGGGGGGCCACGGGGGGTTTTTGGGGGGGGGGGGGGGTACCAGGAGGGCACTTCAAGGAGAAGACTGCAGTGAGCTGCCTGCCTGCACTGTGTTCCTGTATCTGAGCCAGCCCTTAGAAAGGAGTCCCGAGAATATGTTTTAATCTTTAAGACTGAGGCTTTCCCCATTCAATTGGAACTGTGCACTTCTATCCTTACTAGTGTCCCAGTGCAAAAAATTCGTGCACAGGGGAACAGGGAGTCGAGCCCAACCTGCACCCTCACCAATCGGGGACCCCTTGGGGGATGTTCAACTACTGGTTTAGGCCGGATCCCTGTGGACATCCCTCACAATCTGGGACTGTTGACTCCTAACAGCTCACCTGTCTACCTGCCTAACTGCCCCTAACTGCCCTCCCTTGCCGGCCTGATCTCCCCCCAACTGCCCTCACCTACCTGCCTGATTGCCCCCAACTGCCCTCCCCTGCCAGCCTGATCTCATTCCAACTGCTCTCCCCAGCCCGCCTGATTGCCCTCACTAACTCTGCCTGCCTAATCATCCTTAACTGCCCACCCCTGCCGGCCTGATCACACCCCAAACTGCCTTCCCCTGCTGACCTATTTGTTCTTGTATGGTCGGATTCTATGCCAGTCAGGGTGAAAAGCTCCACCTCCTAGGCAGCAATTGGCTCATTACAGTTCACCCAGATTGGTTCTGATTGGTCGGTTTCTTTGCCAGTCGGCAGCTTTGGGCCTATCTCAGGGCCTGATCAGAGAGGCAGGGCTGATCAGCATCCCTGGTGGAGGCTGCAAGAGAAAGAGAAAGAGAAGGACAGCTGCTGGCCAAGCTCAGAGCAAAAGAGAGAGGCAACAGCTGATCAACAGCTGCAACGGAAGCTGCGGATCAGACCCTGCCTCTCTCTCCTGGTCTCTCTCCAGCCTGCTTTGCAGCCCCTTAAGCAGTCAGTGCTGGGTCGCTGTGCTCCAACCAGCACTGATTGCAGAACTGACTTCCGGTGTTTGGTGGAGCCTTCGGTTGGTCCTTACAGATCCTGGGTTTTTAAATATTAGGATCAGCCTCTTCACTAACCAATCAGAGCAGCTTCAGTCTGACCAATCAGGACAGTGCTTTTTGGAGTAATCAAACTTTGAGGACTAGGAGTCTTCCTTTGCATGAGGTTGGACCAATCAGAGACCAGGGGTGGGGACTTCTCTCTCGCTATTTAAGCCAGCTTCCTTCTGGCTCTGGGAGAACACTTTCTCTTTCCACTCAAGATTGTTTCATGGAGAAACAGGAAGAGGGAGATGGGAATGGAGCAGGTGGAGCAGACCAGAGCAGAGCAGAGCTGGTTAGCCAGACAGGGCCACCTTGCCACCTGCTGTTTCATGCTAGTAACTGAGCTGTATCAAAATTGAACTGTTTGCACTGAATATTTCCTTCCTCACTGCACCCTAATTTGGGGATTCCTGGTGGCATTGAACTGGCACCAATGACCATCAGCTGACAGGAGTGTTTTATCTTATACTGGAGGTCCCTCCCCACCCCACAAAACAAAAACAAAAACACAGGAAAAGAAAACCATTTGGAGTATATAGATGAGATTCAGAGGGCCTAGTTTGCCCTGTAAGAGGTGATACATTATGTCATCTCAGTGATTCACACTTAGGCAAGACCTAGGCTATCAGGTCCTTGCCAGACATCTGAGTTCACCTAGACTCAAAAAGGTGCTCATCTCCTGAATAGGGCACTGCATGGAGTCCACCCTCATCTACGCTTGTACTGGCAGTACCTGGACTCCAGCTGTGCCTGCCCTGCTGCCCCACCCTGCTCCTTCTGCAGCTCCACCACAGCACCCAGCCTCCCAGCACCGCCTTTCTTTGCCCCCCTCTTCCCGCCCCAAACACAGCCCCCACCCTACCCATTCCTCCTCCTGCTGGTGCAGAGCTACACCCACCTCAGGGACTATATAAGGGCGGTGCTTGCTCTGCAGGCAACTTCAGATCCAGAGCCCCTCCCAGAAAGCAAACAACGGGTGAGTTCTGGGCACCAGGCCCATTAGGGAAGTGGGACAGAGCAAGCTGGGGCTGCCCAGGGCTGGGATCTGCCAGCTGCCTACTCCTGGCTCCTCCCTGACCTTCCGTGGCCTGGGTACCCACAGCCTCTGATCTTTTGCTGGGATTGCTGCCTGAACTGCTCATCTGAGAGGGAGACAATACCAGAAACACCCCCCACCCAACCAACTAATCCCAGGTGCCAGGGCAGGCCTGTAATGGACTGGCCTTGTGGCTGGAAACCAAAGCCAAGCCTGAGATCATAATATTTTTATTTATTTCTCAACTCCCTGCTTCCCAGAGCAGTTTGTGACAGTTTTTAGGCAGCCCAGGGGTTATAGTTTTTCATTGCTGCAGAGAGATGGAGGGAACTAGAGAAGAAAGAAGGGAGGGAGGGAGGGAGGCAAGGGGGGATGGAGGGAGGGAGGGAGCAAGGGAGGGAGGGAGGAGGTAGGGGAGGCCAATGTGATCCTAGAGGTTACTTTCCAGTAACAACAGTGATAATTCAATGTATTACTTACAGGGAGGCAGCTAGCACCACTATTATCCTTCCTTGCCCATCTCTGTGGAAACAAGCTCTGAGAGGAGTCAGGATTGGTAGCTGGCTTCTGAGCTGAGGTGGAAGGCCAGTCACCTGCCCCTGAGGGGTGGGTGTCAGAGAGGATGCTTGGCCCCCGCTCCTGGTGGGCTGCACCCCAACCCTAAGGCCTGTGCTGAGTTTTCAAACTCTCACATCCTACACCAGCCTCAGGACTTGGGACACTTCACCTCTCTAAACATTAGCAACTGAATCTTGGAAATGAGGAAAATCTACCACTTTGCTGAAATTTGCTTTAATGCGGAGCAGTCAGCTATGAATTTCTAATAGAGAATTATCATCTCAGGTAAAGGGTGGGAATGTGTGTGCTCCCCAACTGAATAGGAAAGGCCCAGTCCTGGCTGCTGAGTCTGCAAGTCAGAGCCCTCTTGGCTCCCTGGGTCCTGGCCCTGGGTCGCTGATGGAGCCTTGTCCAGTTCCCACCTGTGTGCTCATGAGACAGTGCTCTTGTCCTCCTGGAAAAAGAAAAGGAAGTACAAGTTTCTGGGTGTTTCAGGGCGAGGGGGATGTGGAGAAATGTCGTTGCCATATTTGCTGGTGTGCTAGGCCTCTGTCCTGTGTTGTAGCCTCACCATGGAGCAGCTGAGCTCGGCCAACACCCGGTTCGCAGTGGACCTCTTCCGCACCCTGAAGGACAGCAACCCCTCTGGGAACATCTTCATCTCCCCCATGATTTTGGCTGAGCATACAGAGGTGAGGAAAGCTATGAGAGCCCGGGTGGTGTGCTGCTTCTCTTTCAGTGGGCAAATCTTTGAAGGCATGATCTTCTCACTTCAGAATTTTCACTTTCTGTTTTGCATGCAACTCGCTACTCATTAATAGATGCCTGCTATGTAATGTTACCTTTCAGCACAAAATGAACAGGGAATGGAGGAAGTTGGCGTTGTTGCCTTTCTGAGGGCACAGGAGATCCTGCGTTTATACTGTTGAGGCCTAGTCATGTGCCTGGCACAAGTGCCTGTGTGGGTAGGGGGGCCTGAAGCAGAGGAAAAAAGTGAGGTGTGTCTGCTGCAGGGACAGGGCCAAACCCTGGGTGGTATGGCAGGTCCCTGTTACAGGGAGAAGAAGCAGTAATGACTGGCCTTCCACCTGGCCTTCATGGGTGTGGGGCCCACCACTGTGCTGTGTGGTCTTTGTTGAATTCTGAGAGGGGAGCTCTAGCTCTCCTTGAAAGCAGGGGAAAGATTACACGGTGCCAGTAACTGGGGAACGTCCAGCCTTGGATTCAAGTTTCTCCATGTTTATTCAAGTTTCTCCATGTTTATTCAAGTTTCTCCATGTTTATTCAAGTTTCTCCATGTTTATTCAACTTTATCCTAGTTTATTCAAGTGTTCCAGCTGCAAATCTTTTATTTCAGCATTTTATGAAAAACCAGTGGTCTTTACCACTGCAGATATGAAAGCACTTTTATGTTTCCCAAAATCCACTTTTTCTTTTACCCCCTGGTAGTAATGATTAGTTGCTTCTTGCAGGGAATGTCAGCTTCTGTTTTGAGGTTTATCCAGTGACTGTTTTGCCTCAGCAAAAAATAGTTTTAAGGGTTCCCCTGCTTTTCCATTAAAGTAGATCTATCATCACAAGTGTGCAAACATTCCCTATCTTGGTGAGTAACTGGACTTTGTATATTGTGTAGGTTCATTCTTTGTGTGTTAAAATAAGGACCCAGCCCATGAAGGGATTCTTGATTTGTAATATGAAAATTAAACTTTGCTGAATGTTAAGTTTATAGATGTTATTTTTAGGTTACTGATGCTGATAGTGTAGTTTAAAAATCCCCTCAATTCTGTAATATCTTTGTGCTCCCTCATAGGGGATGATTCTTAATTTTATTGTTTATTTCTGAGAACTTGCAGAAAAACTCTATTTGATACAGAATTTATATATGAATATACCAGTTATGATTTTCTCTGGAGAAAAAGCAGACATAGATAAATATTTAGCCTATTAACCACTGACATTCATTGGACTATAATAATAAAAAAGTGATATAAAAAGAACTTCTAATGTAATTATGTCTCACAAAGCTATAAATTTTAAATTCTCTATGCTTTTGTTCTCCAATGAAAGTTTACTAAAGTACTGGACTGGGAAGTATTGATAATTAGTAATAAAAGCATTAATTTAATTTGATAGAAGCAAATGTCAAGGAATCTGTTTCAAAATAAATGGCTATAGAAAGACTGTTTTCTCTATTTTAGACTCTTCACTTCGATGCAGTTAAGGAGATTCATTCAAGTTTTCAGAGTCTGAATGCTGATATCAACAAGCGCGGAGCTCCCTATATTCTGAAACTTGCTAATAGGTTATATGGAGAGAAAACTTATGAGTTCCTCCCGGTGAGTACTTTACATTCACATGCTAAAACTCAAGAAATACATTGCCATGCTAAAACTGACAAAACAGTGCAGACATTTTCCAGCACAACCAAGTCACAGAAGTCATTTTTTATTTTTATAAACATTCAGAAAAAGAGACAGAATTTAAACAAATGGCAGTATCTCCACTAATGATTCAATTTCATTTGACAGTCTTCACAGGAAAAGATAGCCCCGGCTGTGTTACTAAAGCAAGAGTGAATTCCATAATTCACTTCCAGGAACAACCAGTGTATACTTATTTATGAAAATGTCAGCCAAAGGTCTGAAAAAAATTGGTAAATTTTATGTGACACCAAAACTACTGAACTGTACACTTAAAATGATTAAGGTTGTAAATTTAGTGTTATGTGTTTTTTTTTTACCATAATATAAAAAGCATAAGGGTTAGAATTTTTTTGTTACAATGAAATTTATGTCTTTTAGGACAATTTCTATTGCTTTTAAGGATATTAGAAAACCATTTCTATATGTAATTGGAGTTATTCATGTTTGTTTGCTTATTTTTTTACCTTTTTTGTCTTAAACAGGAGTTCTTAGCTTCAACCCAGGAAATGTATGGTGCTGAACTGGCCAGTGTAGATTTTCAGCGAGCCTCTGAAGGTGCAAGAAAGGTGATAAACGAGTGGGTCAAAGGGCAGACTGAAGGTAAGAGAGTGGGCGGAATGTAGGCATTCATTACACACTGGCCCTTCCTTTTCTCCTTCCACTTTCCCAGCCTGCAGATAATTCCCTGCCCTTTTCCTCTGCCCTCACCTTCTTCCTGGGGGTAAACTCTGCCACTGCCCAGTGCCAGACAGCTTTTAAATGTGGAAATTCCTCAAAGTAGGAAGTTCAACATGCTTTCACAGAAGCAGACATGCTTTCACTGAAGCAGCTAAATATGTTCCCCATAAATTCACAAAACCACATTTTAAAATTAAAAGTAACATTGAATGTAGGATAAAAAGGATAAAGCTTTAAGGAAAATCCATCCTAACCCCAATTATGGAGGAGAATCCTATATAATAAAAGCCTAATATGCTAAGTGCCGTGTTATCTGTTCAGTCATCTGTTCAACCAATCAAAGCATAATGATAGGCTAAAGCCACTCAACTGCTTGCTATAACATGCACTGACCATCAGGGGGCAGACGCCCCAACCTGTTGGTTAGCTTGCTGCTGGGGTCTGGCCATTTGGAACTGAGCAAGGTGGGCCGGCCAGGCCCTGGTGCCCTCCTGCGATTCCTCCCTGCCTGGCCAACATTCCACATCCATCTCCAACTCCGAGAGTGCACCAGTGGGGTCTTTTGGCCTGGCCTATGCCCTCTCACAATCCAGGACCCCTCGGGGGATGTTGGAAAGCTGAGTGTGGCCCAATTCCACTCAATGCAGGAGCATTAGTGATCAGCCCAAAGCCTGGCTCACAGCTGGTGAGTGCAGTGGCAGTGGTGGGAGCCTCTCCCGCCTTCACAGTAGCACTAGAGATGTCCCACGGAAGCATTATTACTAATAATGTCCCACGAAAATTCAGGGTTCCCTAAGCTAGCAGTCAGACATCCACTGAGGGCTCCAGGACTGTGAGAGGGCACAGGCTGGGCTGAGGAACCCTCTGTCCCCAGAGTGCACGAATTTTGTGCACCAGGCTTCTAGTCTTCTATAATAATAAAAGCGTAATATGCTAATTAGACTGGATGACCTTCAAGACGAAGCTGTGGTGGCAGATGCTGAGCCCTTTGCACTAATTTCCTGGATTGGGCCTCTAGTATTCTCATACTTGTGACACAAACTGCTGTGGCCATTAGTATTTTGGCAAATGTCTTGTCTAAGCTGTCAGGGGTGGCTCCATCTCAGATGTTTCTCCATTACAACTCTCTCTAACCCTGTCAAGTCTGCTTCAAGGCACCTACCAAACTCCTATCTCCCATCCAAGGCATTCTTCATGGCCATGCTGCGGTCACAGGACAACTGGTGTTTCAGAGGACTAACTGGCCTAGCCTTCGGATATGTGTGAAAATATTTTCTGTGAGAGCAGCTTCCACTTAGAGGCTTTGAAGAAGTAATTTATTTATGCCTCCTAAAGAATGGCCATTCACAAAAGAAGGCCATTTTTTCTCATACAATGCAGAAAAGATTGTCCTGTTTTTAACTTTTAAACCCTTTAGTTGGTTTATTTATAATCAAATCACACTGGAAGGGCTTCCCTAACTTAATACATTAATGGGAATTAAATAAAAACTATGAATTTAAATTGCATTTTAATGCAATTGAAAACTATAATGCTAATATTTGAATTTAAAAAAAAAAAATCTTCCTTTATTTCTT